ATGGAGGGGATTATAATCAATGTAATGAAACAAGTCATATGAATGGTTGAATGTGAAACTGATGATGTGCCCTGTAAACTTTCACTCAATCTACAATAAAAACCTTAAAAAAAAGAAAGCCAACCGTATACATACTTGCTATTTTAAATTTTAAATTCTTTAATGTGACACCTTCTACATCAGAGGCATACATTTTCTTTGGCTCTCCAAACTTTGTTAGAAGACATTTTTTAGCATTCTTTTTAGAGGCTGACCCGAGACCTCTAAAAAGAAGTTACATTTATTCCTCATTAAAATGTTACTGTACTTTCACAGGGCCTTGAGAGAATACGGTCAGTTTAACAACATGAATAACCCCCTAGTTGTATATTTTCCTTTAAAATCAAAGGTCAATCACGAAGTGATTAAGGCAACTGGTTTAAAGCAATTGTAAAACTGACCCAAAGCAGATTACTTCCCAGTTTGTAGTTTTTAGAATTCAAGTGATAAAAAGGTATGGAAAAGAGGGGGAACCCTAGAAAACATTTTTTATCCCTTATGGGTCCTTTTGAGGAGTGAAGGTGGTATTTTCTTCTTCTTAGGTGATAAAGGTACGTTTGGGACAAGTCTATTGAAGCCTTATAGCACAGTGTTAGATTTAAGGTTAGTTAGTATTGAAAATATCACTTGAGGGAAACGTTTCACCTGTTTAACGATGAGAATTATACTAATGGAGAAATCTTGGACAAACATATATGTAAAATACCTTAAACAACAGATATTAGAGACTTTCTTATATAAGGTTTACACAAGGGCTGTCTAAAATAAATATAATGGAGTTAGTAGGCACTATAAAGGAGTCCTGGTGTGGCGCTATGAGTTAAAGTGCTGGATTGCAAAGTCTGTTCGAACTACAAGGTTGGCAGTTCACCAGCTGCTTGGAAACCCTATACAGGGTCACTATGGGTCAGAGCTGATTTGGTGGCACTTAACAACAACAAGTACTACAATAAGAAGGTGAATTTTATTAATATATTTCATTTAGCCAGATATATCTGCAGAAAAAAGTTAACAAGGCAGGCCTGAGCTGCTGTCTTCAGAAGGTCCTGCTTACAAATTTAGCCTCTGGTTGGCATCTGGGACCTTGGTTTTTTCCATTCCCTAACAGCGTAGTGGTTACGAATCAGGCTGCGAACCTTAAGGTCAGCAGTTCGAAACTACTAGCTGTTCTGTGGGAGAAAGATGAGGCTTTCTGCTCCCGTAAAGATTTACAGCCTCAGGAACCCTGTACAGGGTTGCTATGAGTTGGTTCTGACTCCACAGCCCAAAACCACCACCACCAACTGATAAGAGCAGGTCACCATGCCTAGTTTGGGCTATGATGTCATTTATGGTGAACTTTTACTTTCTTTGTCCGTTTTTCTGTTAAATTCTTATATGGATATAATTCCTCAGTCCCAGCAGTCTCAGCAAAGGGGTGGAAAGAGTTGAGGTTCTAGAGAGTGGACATATTACATGATTCAGTGGAAATGGCCCACAGAAGTTGACATTGAGCATCGGGAAGCGAGGGGTATCAGGGAGAGGCTGGCAACTCCTAGACGGAGGGCTCAATAACTGGGCAAGTTTGGCTTTCATATCTTTCTATATAGCGCTGATTTAGAGTTATTGGAAATGGCGAAACAGTCTATATGTATATGATTTGTTTCAATTTTGTTAATTTCTGAAAACTCAGGTTAATGAGAAACCTAAGTATGATTACTCACAGAAAATACCATTGCTGAGGTTTGGAGACTTCCAGCTGGCTGGGGAACTTACTACTATGTTCAATACAGCCTAAAACTTTCCCTGTTGAAACTGTAGGTTTTCTTGTCTCATTCTTCTTTACTTTTCTTTCTCAACTAGTCACAATCCTATTGATTCTCTCTCTTCTTTATCCTCATTGGCATTGCTTTGGTTCATACCTTCATGGTATCTCTTACCTTATCTATTCAAGAGGTCTCCTAACTGGCCTCCCTGCCTCATTTTATAGTACAAAACCCTGCAAAGTCTATAAATTAAATTCTAAAACTAACCTTTAATTTAAAATATTTTATATAATGGCTTTAATCTACCTTTCTTGACAGTTCTTTCCAAGAAACTGTGGCCCAAATTTGGTCTAGCTCTATTCCTTTATTCATTTCATTAATCTGTTTGGAATAATAACCTCAATTAACATTCCCATCTTGTAAAATCTATCCTCAGGATCAACTGAAGGACCACTTGCTCCAAAACTGGTGCTATTCGCCAGAAATCACTTGGATATTTAACAGGAGAGCACTTTGTTTTATGTCTCAAATGGTCTTTACAGTAGTCAATCCAATAATGGCGTTATATTTGCATTTTTGCCACCTAACTTCAGTGACCTTTAGTCTTTTAAGGAAAGCACCGTTTTATCCACTTTTTGTACCATCATCATTTGGACATAGTACCTTGTATGATAAATGTCAAATAAATGCAAGGTTGCCTGAACCAGCATTAAAATCATAAGAAGAATTTAGCTATAATAGAGTATACGTGTGGTCATACAGTCATAATTTTAACATTTTAACATATAATCTATGATCTAATAATATAATATCTTGACGTTATCAGTGAAAGAAAAAATTAATCCCTAAATTTCTTATGAAAACATCTCATTGCTGGCATCTTCGTATTTATAAACTTTGCATTTGTATAAATTATAAAGCTTGCCATTATGCCTTCTTCATTATTAGTCAGGACATATAAAATGTATTCGTTTCTCTCACGACAAAAGAGAAAACATACCATTTACTTTTGGAATATATGTGATGTGAACATTTACACACTCAAATATATGCAGTCAATAATTTTCCTCATATAGGGAATAAACCTGAGTAAAGGGCCAATTAGAGGCCAAACAACCCTTCCCAAATGTACATTTAAGTTACAGGCTATTCAAAATCAAGTAAAAAACACAATGATGATTTTTGAAAGCAGTCTCTTGTCAAAGCTTAGGTAATACAATCTGTATTTTCAATAAGTACAATTCACAAAACAAATACTTGTTTATTCCAAGAAGCAGCTGGTAGATTTGAACTACTGAACTGTATTTAACAGCCCAACTTGTAACCACTACACTACCAGGGCTCCATAGGAACAAAAAAATAATCCCAACCCACTCAGTCAAGCCAATTGTGACTCACATCAACCCTGCAGGACAGAGACAACTGTCCTATAGGGTTCCCAAAGCTACAAATCTTTATGGAAGCAGACTGCCATGTCAGTTTTCTGTGGAGTGGCTGGTGTGTTCTAACTGTCAACCTTTCCATTTGCAACCATGCCTTTTAACCACTGTGCTCCTTATGACAACTATAATCTTCAGTAAAAACTAATGTTCTATACTTGTATTCTGAATGAATGACTACTATGTAAAATGCCTGAATGCTATGGAATTTACTTACGTTCCACAAAGGAAGTAAAGAGCATTCTAAACCTGCTAAGCCGACTACCTTCATCTGCCCACATCCGTATTACTCCAATTCCAGTTTTAAGCATCACGTCATTGGCCACGGTGCTGCAAAACTTAGCTTTCAGATTTTCAATGGAACTGCTTCCATCATAGACTGCAACGAAGTTTCTTTTGCATTCATTTGAGTGCTCCATTTGATAATCAAGGAACCTCAAATAAATCTGTAACATTAAGACAAAAATGATTATTAAAAGCAAACATTCATTTGAATTTTTCTTTTATCCAGTCAACGTGGTAAACTGGGATACGACAGATGAGAGAAAAACATAATAGACAAATGCTGAACATAAAATGCCTAAGTAGTAATGCTGAAGATCAGTGGTCTATTTCTTTGATTCAATAATTTGTGTTTTGTACATAAAGAGAAGAAATTTTCTGCTTAGTGATGGATAACTGCCTTACATATTTTCTCATTATAAAAGCAATGTCATGGTACTGACAGATTGGGAAAATAAAAGAATCACATACAATTCTACTATTATTATAACCATCATTGAGGCGATCAGATTTTGTTCACTTTTTGAAATTTAAGTTCAATTTGTATAAGATACAAAAAATATATACATCCTACTTTTTCTTTTTTTTTAAACTTTTTGTGAATTGAGTGATAGTTTACATGGGAGAACATCAGCTCTATACTCATCCTATTATATTTCGTTTCATTGCAATATTACAATCCCTCCATGCATCATCATTCAACAGCATTTGCTTCTATTCCCTCTGGGGTTTTTTTTGGATGTACACCAAAACACACAGGAATATGCAGTCATTCAAACCCTGCATGCCCTGCAAACCTGGCGCCTGGCCGACAGCACACAGCCCCTCTCCCTCCATGAGTCTAGAGTCCCCAGGGGCTCCATCTCTCCACATCATCATCTCCGCCCTCGTTGCTTCTCTGAATATGGTCCCATACTTCGTTCCCGCTCTTCTCCCTTTATGGTCCCAGGGTTCTCTGCTCCTGAACTGCTATAAAACATTTACCTACTTTTTCTTTAATACATAAAAATATTTTTTTTCTATCTTATTCAATACATTTCAAAACCATTCATATGATATCCTATCATTTATTTACACATAATCCTACTGTGGCACATTTGAATTGTTTCAATATTTTATCCTACAAGTATAGAACTCAACATCTTCAGAAAGATTTGAACTATAGTATCAATGGACAATCGGGCTGCAAGCCGCAAGGTCAGCAATTCGAAACTACCAGCTGCTCCGCAGGAGAAAGATGAGGCTCTCTGCTCCCATAAAGATTTCCAGTCTCGGAAACCCTGTTCAGGGTCGCTATGGGTCGGAACCGACTCGATGGCACTTAACAACAACAATCAATGGAGAAAACATTGAAGTTGCCAAAGACTTCATTTTTCTTGGATCAACTATCAACACTCATGGAAATAGCCATCAAGAAATCATTAGGCAAATCTACTGCACAAAATCTTTTTAAAGTGTTGAAGAGCAAAGATACCAGCTTGAAGACTAAGGTGCACCTGACCCAAACCCTGGTATTTTCAATAAGTTCACATGCATGCGAATGCTGGACAGCAGAAGGAAGACCATAGAAGAATTGATGCCTTTGAGTTATGGTGTTGGAGGAGAATATTGAAAGTGCCATGGGTTGCCAAAAGAGCCAACAGACCGGTGTTGGAAGAAGTGCAGCCAGAGTGCTCTTTGGAGACCAGGATGGCCAAACTTCATCTCTCATACATGGAAATATTGTCATGAGGGACCAGTCACTGGAGAAGGATATCATGTTTGGTAAGGTGGAGGGTCAGAGAAAAAGAGGAAGACCCCCAGATGGGCTGGCAAAGTGGCAGCATCAATGGGCTCAAGCGTGGCAACAATTGTGAGGTTGGCCCAGGAGCGGGTAGTGTTTCATTCTGTTGTGCACAGGGTCACTATGAGTCGGTACTGACTCGATGGCACCAAACAACATCATCATCAAAGTAAACCTTCTTAGTATTTTATTTGTATTCTGCATCCTCTTTCTTAAAAATTTCCAGGCACCCTGCTATCTGGAATGCACTAAGCTATTTGAAAATATATGTATGGCCCATTTGTGTTTGAAGATTGCTTACTTTTCTTTAGATTGTGGACTTGGAAAGACTGTTAGCATGAATCTTTAGAATATACTAATGAAGTAGGTGTCATTATTCATCATAAGTAGGGAGACTGGTGATACAATGGTCAAGCATTTGGCTGCTAACTGAAAAGTTGGTGGTTCAAATTTACATAGCAGTTTCACTGGAGAAAATCCCAGCTACCTGCTCCTATAAATTATGGTCTAGAAAAACCCAACAGGGCAATTGTATTCTGGGGTTGCTGTGAGTTGAATATTGACTTGACAGCACCTAACAACACATATACAGAAGTACTATTAAGACAGAGATGAAGGAACTTGCCTAGGGTCAGAACTAGAACCCAGGCTGGTCTGATTGTAATGTATGTTCCTTTCATTTTCTAGGTAGCCCTATACACTCCTACTTCACTTTTTGGCTCTAGTTGTTCATAGCATATGGGATTTTTTTTTTTCCCCCTTTAAAATACCTTGGTAGCAAAAAATTTAGCTCAAAGAATTACTTTTTGACCAAATAATGGTTTATTTGAAAGGACCATGAGAACAGTAGAAAATTGGTAATAAAATGTCCATTTCACAAAATCTTCTTTAACATAATTCTTAACATAGAAGCGATGTCTTAAATAAACCATCTATTTGCATTAATTTCCCTATCAGTTATATAACCTTAGCTTCATGGCAGCAAGTATCACTACTACTACAGTTGTTTCTTCCATTAAAAGTCATTCAATGACTATTATCAGAAAAATGAAAATAACAATTGTTGGTGAGGATGTGGAGTGACTGGAATCTTCCTCTATTGCTGATGGTACAGCTACTGTGAAACAATAGCTGATCAGTTCCTTCAAAAGTTAAACATATTAAGTATCATGACCAAGCAGTACCACTGTTAGTGCACAGATGGCCCCTGACTTAGGACAGAATTCTGCTTCAACGACTCAGTCATAAGTCAGTTCTGATATAAGTCAAATACCTTTTTGTTTTGATAAGCCTAATTTATGCTGTTATGACCAATAAGTCCTAACACTGAACATTTGTAAATAAACATCTGAGAAAGACATTAAGTGCCACTGAGTCAGTTCTGACTCATAGTGACCCTGTATATGGTTTCTGAGGAGCAACTGGTGGGTTTGAACCACCAATAGGTGGAAACAACCTCACTGTCTATCAACAGATGAATGGATAACCAAAATGTAGCCCTACATGCATCAGCTCAGTGAGAGTGGTGACCTTGACAGCCGTCTTCATCATGGTGGTCAGGCATCTACAACAACTCACACTCATTCATCATTTCTTGAATGAATGACCTCACAACTTTACCAGGGAATCAATCACACAAACAGAATCTCCCATATCAAGTGATCTCACTGAGTTTCCAAATTGAGAAATCTATTAAATAGGACTCAGAGGATGATGTTGTAGCTACTGTGTGTCATCAAGTCAGTTCTAATTCAGAGTGACCTTATATAGGGTTTCCGAGAAGTGGGGTTGGAAGACATCATATTTATGTTATTTCAAAGAGAGGTGATCCAACGTAATGCAGAAATCATCAGACAATATCATTAATATCACATGCAAGTAAAATTTTGCTAAAAACAATTCAAAAATGGCTGCAATAGTACATTGACAGGGAAGTGCTAGAGGTCTATGCTGTGTTAAGACGAGGACAGGAAAGAGGGATCACTGCTGACATCAGACTGATCTTGGCTGAAAGCAGAGAATACCAGAAATATATTTGTTGTTGTTAAGTGCTGTTGAGTCAGTTCTGACTCATAGCAACTCTGTATAGTGTTTCCAAGGAGTAGCTGGTGAGCTTGAATCTTGCAGTTCAAACTGACTTTGCAGTCTAGTACATTAGCCCACAACACCAGGGCGCCAGAAAGATGTTTGCCTGTGATTTATTGACTATGCAAAGGCTTTCGACTGTATGGATCATGACAAGCTGTGGACAACAGTTCAGTGAATGAGTATTTCAGAACACTTAATTGTGCTCATGAGGAACCTGTACAAACACCAAGAGGCAGTTTGAACAGAACAAGGGAACACCAAATAGTTTAAAATCAGGAATGATGTGCACCAGGGTTATATTATTTCACCATACTTATTCACTCTGTATGCTGAGCAAATAATTGGAAAAACTGGAGTATATGAAAAACATGGCATTGGGTTTAGAGGAAGACTCATTAATAACCTGCAATATGCAGATGATACGAAGTTGTTTGCTGAAAATGAAGAGGACTTAAAATACTTATTAATGAAAATCAAAGACCAGTCCTCAGTATGAGGTGTACCCCAACGTAAAGAAAACAAAAATCCTCACCACTAGACCAATAAAGAACATCGTAAGTGGAGAAATGATTCAAGTGGTCAGACTTCATTTTGCTTGGATCCACAATCAACAATATGAAATAAAAAGACATACTGTTGCACAAGACCTATTTAAAATGTTCAAGAACAAACATTTGAGGACTAAAGTGCCTCTGACCAAAGCCATGGTATTTTCAATAGTCTCCTATGCATGGGAAAGTTGGACAGTGAATAAAGAAGATGGTAGAAGAACTGATGCATTTGATTATGGTGTTAGAGAAGTGTATTAAAAGTACCATGGACTGCTAGAAGAACAAACCAATCTGAGTACAACTAGAATACGCTTTGGAAGCCAGGATGGTGAGACTTCTTCTTTCATATCAGGACATATATAACAAGACTTCAGACATATATCAGGATCTGAAGTCTATGAAGAAGGACATCATGTTAGGTAAAGTAGAGAGTCAGTGAAAAAGAGAAAGATCCCCACAAGATGGACTGACACAGTGACGGCAGCAATGGGCTCAAGTGTAACAACTGTGAGGACAGTGCAGGACTGGGCAGTGTTTCCTTCTGTTTTGCATAAAGTTGCTGTGAGTAGGGATTGACTTGACGGTACTTAATCACAACAACATTCACAGAGAAGGATTCTTGGGACATACTAAGTGCTAATAAAGCATTTTAAAATCAATCAATTAACTTTACATATTTGCAGTGTGTGTGTGTGTATACCATGGAGTATTATTAATCCACAAAGAAAAAAAAGTTCAAATT